ATTGATTTATTAAACTTTAATGATTGTTTAAATGTTTATGCAACTTAGCAATAGTGAATTATTAATAAATAGAAATTCTATAAAAAAAAAAAAAAAATGAATCTAAAAATGATAAATCCTTGCGATGCTTACACCGGATCTTATGAATCTTTAATAATATATTATTACAGCATCGAAAACCAGTTGATAAAACACATATATGTGCTACAGCAGTCTGTCGAGGGTTGTTAGTTGTCGACTACCTACTGATGAGTGGGTGCAAGTTTTATTCGTATAACTTTGTAAGGATATGTTTTCAAGATACTAAATGTCAAAATGTATAATACTTATAAATACTTGTACTTCGTATATTATTCAACTAAGTATTGTGAGCACTTTTACTTAACATTTTTATTCACACAACATAATACATAAAATGTATTATATTATATCATGAGTAGGTATATGATATTTCAAATTGTAAAACCATAACGTACATTTTTTTTTTATTATTAAAGTCCGGCATTTGGAACCACTGGCTTACAATTATCATAGGTATGGCTGCGACACGATTGAGCATAAAACACTTTTTTCGCAACACGATTGAACATAAATTGTCGGCGTATCAAAGGAAATTGAAATACAAAAGAAAACCAACTCGATTGAGCATAAAAAACTCTGCAACGTTACCATTTTCAATTTTGAACTGTATTATAGGTACAAAAATATTTATTTAAATAAGTTCGGTGCGAATAATTTTAAGTGGCCGGGTGAAAATTGATTCTTCAGCTTTTCTCTTGCAATTTTCTCTCAAAACTTGTGTTTCTATTTTTTCAATAGAATTTTGATTGTGTTTATGTTTTCCAGCAGTTTCAATCACTTTTCGTTTATCTAAACCTGCAGAGAACATTATTGCTGAACATTTATTATTCATACACCTCCATCTTAAAAGATTATCTTTTTTGCGCTTTCCAATTAATTTATATTTGTATAAATTCACTAAGGCCAATTCTTTGTCTCTTCTGATAAAATAATTGTTATATCACTTATATCCATATTAAAAAAAATAGAAACTATAAAAGCACTTATACCAAACGCACTATACACGAACACTGATATTATTTCTTTAATAATTTTGGAATTGTATCTTAATWATCTTATATTTTCCACCGATGCTAAATGTCTAAAACGTCGTTTTGCTCCGGAACTAATTTATTAATCGATAACATTGTCGATAAAGCCGAGRAGCTCGGTTCACGGTTCGCGTCATATATCATAATAATTGGTGTAATAACAAGTGAAAATAATAAATTTCAAAATGTTGGCAACATCGCATAAAATATTCTATGCTCAATCGTGTTACTAAAAAGGTCTATGCTCAATCKTTTTATGCTCAACTGTGMTTTACCGATAGGTATATAATATATATAATGATAAAGCAATAAAAAGTTTTTATCATGTATCATTATAATAAGCATAAATTAGAATAAATAATTACATTTATAAAACTTTTTATTATATTGTTATTGTGAGAGCACTATTATTGTTTACATATTTTGTTATTAGTTTATGCCATACAAAATGTCAATGTGTATTACATTAATATTTTACTCAAACTGCTTTATTTTTAACATTCAAGATTTTAACAAAGGTTTTCAATTTAAACATTTTCAAAATACTATTTAATATACTGATAGKGATTTACAATTACATAATTAATATTTATTCTATATAAAAATAATTTATTTTAATTTTAAACAAAAATACTCGTTTCGTGCAATTAAAACTGAAAAATACGAATGAAAAAAAAATCATAAGCTTGGAACTGGTTATCAATTTCTGTTCAAGTAATTTGTTCCATAACTCTACCCAATTTTACTACTATATTTAAAACACTAATCTACCTATATAATAATATTTTACATAAAATGTTATTATTATTTTTTTTTATCATAAATACGTATATTTATTTTATAATAATAATAAACGTTGGTCAATACGTTGTCAATAATAGGACTTAAAAATCCCTTAATATGTGTGAACTTAAAAAACATAAAATATGCACATAAAATGTCATTATCTGAATTTAAAACATGGAAAATTATATATTTTTTAAATAATCAAATAACAAATTGGAAAAACAAATTTATTTCTTCATTATCGATGAATCGTAAATCGTTATAAATTTAATGAATTTACTTACCAGGTATGTATGCATGACATGATAATTGTTTGATAAATTGTTATGGTATTCAACCAAAAATAATTTCTTACTTGTTACTCGCATTGCATATAATTTCAATATGTGGCTCGGAAAAATCACTGGCAAAATCATTTCGGCCCTATGGATACAGTATCAAATTGTGAAATTTTTATTTTTATACCGACAATTTTTCAAGCATGATTTTATTTAATAAAACTCATTCGATACTAAATTTTCTATACTAAATCCAAAAATAAAAGTTCTCAATTTCCAAATATAAGTATTTAATAATCAAATATGCATTTATATTCAGTAATGACAAAGTTACAGAATATGCAAAACTAAATTCGAAATATAGCTTCATTTAGTACCTACTACCTACCTATTATGGAACATATATATWTTTTTTTATATCACTCACATTGTTTTTCGATCTTCTGGACAAATATTAAAAAACTAGAAGTCCCCAAAATCTAATAATAAATATAAATAAGTTTCGTAAGAATGGTTTATTTGGTATACATAATGATACAAATTGATACTGTCTTATCTTCTGATAAACTGTAATCAAAATATCATATAAGAATTTTTTTAAATATTTCTTTTTGTTAAATTTGTTTGTGCGGTCCGCATAGCCAAACTTTTCAATATATTTTGTCCAATCGATACCTTGAGTTTGGCATGCCAGTTGCAAATAATAATTGTATTTCATTGAGTACGATATTTATTTACTATAAAAATCTTTAGTAATTTGTTTGGGTTTATTATTGTTTGCATCAAGTGTCCGAGTATAAAGGTTTTTTATTTTAACACTTCAATAAAACCAGTTTAGAAAATGATAAAAATACCCTTAATCAAGGTCATGTGACATAGCGGAATCCTGATTAGATACAAAAGCAACATGATGTGATTACTCGTTAAGACTGTTAATACTTAAGAGCGACATGAAAATCGAATTATAACCCTGAAGGTAGGCGCGTAAAGACATGTCACATGTCACATACACAGTATGCACATACTGGGTAGGTATATCAGTTTATGTATTACATTAAAAATACATTTTAAACTATGAATAAGATTCACACGGTTCATTAAAAATATTCATACCATGTAGTAAGGAGGAAAAAATATATTTTTATACCATTTTTTTTTTATATAAATTCAATTCTTTAGGTACCTACTATACCTATCTACACTAATAATTCAATTTGACATACTAAAAATTATAGACTAATACAGAATAATAAATAAGACAAATTGCGAAAATAGTCGCATTTATAAGAGTTATAACGTTATATAAACCTACTGGCTATTACGACTATAAATAATTATTCATATATTATAGATTCCTTGTACATTTATATGATATCTGTGTTTTTTTTTTTTTAAGTTTATGTTTAAATATTTTTTTCAAACCTTGATACTATTTACTTTAGTTATAAAATTTGAGTACTTTTAAATTAAACAATTTAATATTGCCCAAGCCCTCAAGAAAATTAAACGTATATGAAATGAAAATCCATAATTATAYATTTTTATAATATATGTTTTATCAAACATTTTTTAGTATATTAAATATTAAATTAGAATTTAATATTTATACATATTGATAAATGTAGTGTTCCTTATAGAATATTATTTTTAAAACATATATAAATTATGGATCATTAACAACATAGGTACACTATACAGTATCGTGAACACAATCAAAAAACTAGAAAATGTATGAAGTGTATACTATATAGAATACAATTAGTAGTATATTAAAGTAGCCTTTTAAAAATTAAATTTGGATATTTATATTACTTTACTCTTTCAATTTAAACTTCAAATATTTTAAATATTTGTAATGTTGTTGAGTAAAATGTATTCATTGCAATAATAATAGTATGTATATCTATTGGCATCCTAAAAGTACATTTGATGAAAGACAAATATATTGAATTATGTAGTCATTTTTAAGGTTAATTAATCTTAAAAATATTGGATGAAATATCTCATAATTATAAAAGTATTAATATCATACTATACTTATTACTGTTGACCTATAACAACCTATAAGTATAAAAACCTACAATATTTTGAAATGTTTGTGGATTTAAATTTAAAATTTAGTTGATATATACTTAAATCTGAACAGGATAATAAATACCGGATGTTGGTATCCCACCACGTACTTATTGATGCACAGGATAGTACTACTGCTGCTTGTGTTTTTTATCCTAAATTCGAAAGTAAGTATAGTGATTTAGGGCGATTTAAATGCAAAAAGAGTTTTTAGTGCAAAAATATCACTTTCTATGCCATAAATTAATTTCATAYATCATCAAAGGATCCAATGATGAAACTTGTATTTTGTATTTTTTTTTCAGTATTCAAATATTCAAAATAGATTCGCGTAATGTTACATCACCGCATACAAGGAGAATTACTATATTAATCTCAATTTGGTGAACAGAAGCCTATATCTAAAATATTAGTTGGGTACCTTATTTTATCGCTTACCCTCACAATAACGGTTAAATGTAACATTATCCTATAATTTTCAATTAATAATCACTAAATATAGCATATTAATCCAATGAATAAACTTATTTTTTTAAATTCATTTTYACATTATAAACATTTTTTAGTAAATTCCTGTTAAAATATTTACACAAAACTTGTAAAGTTCTTGTACCAGAAGTATTTTTTAACAGCAAGAGAAAACAATAATTAAAAAAAAGCTTATTGTTGCATCGCCACATTCTAAAATTAGTTATGCATAATTTATAACGAGTATGAATTTAAAAAAATAAGTTTATTCATT